GAAGTTGTATTCTTTTATCCTCTTATCCTGGTGGAATCATGATATTGAATTACCATTAAGGACTTCACAATGCGTACGTTTCTTTTTTATAGTTGGTGATCTAACGAGAAATGGTCATTTGGTCAGTCCGGCCATTTGTAATGAGGTGTAGTCCATGTACGCGTCTTGCGACGCTGAGCTCAAATCCGTTTTCGGTATTTGCGGAACGATTCTCTGAAAGAAGTTACGAGGGATTCTTCTCACTGTGGCTCCCTTTACATCCCCCTATACCCCTCGGTTCGCAGAAGAGCCGGAGAAGTGACTTGCGAGTCGGCATACTAGCATAGTGGATAGCTCGCTTGTTTCGTAGTAGAGGTCACAAGTTCGAATCCTCGGGCGTAAAAATTTTTCGTGGCTCTCCAAACGAGCCCGAAAGTGTTTATATTTGGTTATTTTGTTGACATGCGACCCTACTTGACACTGGCTTGACTTTTTTTTTATTATGATGAACTTTGACACACAGAAGACTCATGAATATACAAAATTTCAATAACTTACGAGCACATGTGATAGTCCCTCACAGAATGGTCAAAGCAAGACAGCTTTTCGCAGTATGCACAGCGAAAGAGAAAGTCTCTAAGGGGATGTACACAGTGGGAAAGCCACTGTGAGAAGAATCCCTCGTAACTTCTTCAGAGAATCGTTCCGCAGATAACGAAAACGGATTTGAGCTCAGCGTCGCAAGACGCGTATCGGACTACACCTCATTGCAAATGGCCGGACTGACCAATTGACCATTCCTTGTTAGCAGATTTCTACATTTTTTCAGCATCTGGATTAGAGTTGTGTTTTGTTTACTAACTGATCCAAAGTTCAATATTTCTTAAGTCAACAGAGAGCAGTTCATATGCATTTTTCCGATCACCAGAAACGTAATGAACAGGATAACTTTCCTGTTTGCTCCTCAATCCTCTTGCTCAGTTCACAGTTTATGATGGTTCTTCTGAATTGGAACGTGATATATGTATGCATTTGTGCACGTGTACAGGCTGGTGTTAGGCATCAGTGATGGATTATTCATTTTTACATTTTGCGGTGTGGGATTATTCCCTGTTTTTTCAAAAACTTGGTGATGTTTGATATGCATACAAGTTGTCTGTAGTCAACGTAACAAGGATTTTCTTTGTTACGTCTCAACTGGTTGTTTAATTCGTTCGTTTTGTTATTGTTTAGTTTATTCGCTAGAAGTTACTTCAGGCTCACTTGCCGTAATGTTGCCTGCAGCTGAATAGGTAATAAGCTCATCACGATGACATTTTATCCAGGTTAATTAACGGTAGTTAGTTGTGGTAACTACATGAAAACTTCTTTTTCAGTAATAGGGGTATACTTTTGACATAGATTGCAATAAGGTCGTGGTGATTTATCAACCAGAATAAAGCTTTCAATGATATGGAAGAACGTGGATGTAATTCTATGGGAGGTGTTCCGGCCTGCATGGCTTTTGTTGTAATTGAACTTTACTGAGTCACTAATCATGAAAACGTCTTTTGAGCCGCCTTTTAACGGAGACGTAGACATTGGACTCCAAAAGTCATACTTATGGTGAGTCTAGACAATTTACTAGTGAACAAAGTTAATAGAACAACTAATAATTGTATTCTGTCGTTTTGTTCGATGAAGCAGAAGCAGTGGGAAGAGGCACCGCCACCCCAAGTGGGATTTGTAATCCAGTTTGGTCCGAAAAAACTTCTATTCCTTCAAAAGTGGGGAACTGGTGTCTCTGCTTACCGGGGCCACGACCTGGGACTACACCGCGTATCGACTCTCGTGCAAATCCTTCCTCCCCTACAGGGTTGGTTAATTGGATGGGATTGTTTGGCAGGTAAGATCACTGACGTACTTCGATCGTCCACCCCCCCCGGTTTACGGACTACTTGATTTTTCCTCAATGGTCCTGCCGCGATGGCTAGAGCACAGACGATTAGAGAACGGGTGAATGCCCTAGGACTAAGCCTTGGAGAGGAGAGGGACCCGCGAGAGAGCGCAGAGGCGGTTTAAAGGGCTGAGTTCAAGTAGTCCGTCGACCTCTCCCCCTCCCCACTTATAGTATAGGCCAAGCCGCATTCAAATACCACATCAAAGACAGTCTAGAATGTAGAATGCGTGGCAGCATTCCGCAAAAAGATTGATTAACTCGAAATGCTTAATCATTTCATGTTTTCAATATGTACAAAATTACTGTGAGGCAATTCATAAATATCCCAATTACTTCTTGTGGGTGTTTATAAACTTGCCTTTGCACGACGAACTTCTGCTTACTAAATATTGTTTTATTTCAGATACAGGCCGCAAAGCATGGATCGAGCCGAAGCCTTATTGAGGTGGCGCTGAAGAATGTACGGAAGCGATTTCTTGATCAAGCGACGTCTCGATTCGCTCCAGACTCCTTCGAGTATGATACCGTCAAGTATAGAATGAAGAAGGTATGTTGATCGGCAGAAGTTCACCCCACCGCAACACGAGAGATTTAAGAGAGAGACTTGAAGTGGACCAACCCTCTGCTGATAAATCTGAGATAATTCTAAACGTCTTGAAACACAGCGGACCCCGCGACTGCGCGGGATTACCGCTAGGGAGAAGAAGAGGAAGAAGTCTAGCTAACGTTCTGCATGTTCTCGCGTATAAATCTGAAGGAAATATTCTCTAATCCAGAGTAATGGTATGAACTCCATGTCCGTCTTTGCTATACTAAACACAAGACGAAAGCGGATCAGAGGTTTGGTGCAGCACTCAACGGTAACGCTTGAGCAGCTTGTCGATTTTCCGCACCAGAAAGACAAGGGCTGAACACTGCGAAGGTCGTGGATGGTCTTTCTGGCTGAATCCACCGTATTGACCTCTTTATTCTCCTGGAAGCGCTGCAATTGCTGAAGGGTCAGTAACCAGATTGAGTAGCGAAGATGGGCGGTAGAGAGTCTAACCTTCAGTTCAGTCTAGGTCTTACCGTCTTAGGTTGGGTGTTGTCGTGATGGAAGTTGGTGGTCCCAGACAACGAGTCAACCTTCAGCTTTCTCAGCGAAGCAGCACCTCGAGGTCGCCGCGTCCAATTATTGGGTCTTTAGCAACCTCTTTCGCATTCGAAAACTAAAAAAGAAAGAAGTTTACGGCCGAGTATGAGGTAAGGGGAGGGCACTTGACGACTTCTTCAATTCCCGGCCCCAGCCCTTCTGATGGGGAGGGGGGATCAGCGAGCTAATCGAAAGTTGTTGTTAATTTGAAGAAGGGGATGGTGCACACCCTTAAGTTCAAGGCCGGTTTATTGTGAAGAAGTCATAAAAATGGGCGTAGAGGAGAACTCATCCCTCAACATAATAGGGGATAATATGAAGTTGTGGGCGGATAGCGCGCAGCTAGAGGCGAACTGCTACCTCGAGAATGCTAGCGGGTTGAATATAATCAAACAGTTTGGCCCCCATGGGTTTTTCGCTTGAAATAAGTGTCGAGGATAAAGGGAAGTGAATGTCGACCGGTCATCGAAATTTCTACTGAAGAAAGCCCTTTATTCAAACTCTTGCGGTTCTCGTTGGAGCCTTTTGTAAATGAGAGTCTGATCTTCGATTGTGTGCAATCACTTCCGTACGGGATTTTTTGGAAGTGAGCGACCAGCTCATTCTCAGGAACAACAGCTCAGAACCCTCTCCTAGGACGAAATATTAGCAGGCTCTTAAATACTTTTTATCAATTTAGTTATACGATTCCACAGTAGGTGGAGGCAAGAATGCACGATCTGTTCTTGCGCTGGATTCCTTTTGTGCGTTTAATCCTGATGCAAGTGCTGCGGAAGTGCAAACCATGGCAGAGTGCGCCTCATTGTTAGAATTGGTGTGTTCCTTTTTTTCTGCCACCTTCATCACGACATCTAAAAATATTTTTTTAGCGAGGGAAGAGCTGATTTTCTTTCAGATTCAAAGCTTCTATATAATACTTGACGATATTATGGATGGAGCAGAAACCCGACGTGGAAAATTGTGCTGGTACAAGCAAGTGAGCATATATTATCTTCTAAAGTAATGAGCTCTTGAAAGCGAACTTTACAAATGAGAACTTATCCTCTATTCAACTAAATTACGGTTTATACGGAGATGGATAATGGGGTCGTTTATAGTTGTTCTGCAGAGCTCACGCTCCTAGCATCTGAGAGAGAGCGTTTGAATCAGTGACACGTATTAGTTTTAGATTATTGATTTCGTATAGATATCCCCAATTTGGCTCCACACACTACGTGCGCGTCAAACAGGGAATCAGCGATATTTGCTTCAAAATTTGCTTGTGATGGATCCATTTCGTTTACTAAAAAAATACTGTTAATCGATCCGGAACTGAGCTTTAGTAGAAAGGGTTAAATAAATGACCATTGTCGTATCTTTCCGGAATACGCCACACACATAAGCCTATGTTAGAATCGCGTATGCATTTGATCACGCATTTACTTGGCAACAGCTTGCGGCGTACAACTCATCGTTGCACGCATGTTTTCGCTCTTTCAAACAAATTCTGCCCAACTAAGATTTTTCGGTTTTCCTAAAAACTTGGTAGACCCAAGCTGGTTTTGATCTAACGGAAAGAATTAACCGCGAAAGCCAGTGATCACGATAGCTGAAGGGTGGCACGGTTCTGATGAAATCATCGGTGAAAGGGCGACGAGAGACGGTTTCAACCACGCCCCTTCGCGGTGGGGGTGTAGTCCACCAATGCTTTTAAATGACTAAATGACGTCATCGAGGTCCCAACTCCCTCCAGCCATCGTGATCGCTGTCTTTTAGCCTCCAGCCGCATCTGTCTTTAACACGGTGTCAACTCTAGGTGAATAAAATTATTTATGAGTACCCTTACAGTACGATAAGAAAATTTCAATTTGATGTGAGTTTGTAGTTTCAGTGTCGTAATGACATTATAACGGTACGCTAAGAAATCCAAGCGCTCAGCTTAATTGACAAAAGGGAAGTTGTGGTATTAACTCAGTAAAAGTTGGCTTGTTTACAGCCTGATATCGGTTTGGGCGCCATTAACGATGCATTATTGCTAGATGCTTTCATTGAGGAAATAATACGGTGAGTAGCTACTTTTTTGCTTTCCTTTCATTTCCATTATCGTGCTGATCGGGTTTAGGCTACAGGGTAGGCCCAAAAAGAGACACTTTGCTTATGCCGCATGGCTGCTTGGTTTCGCATTCGTGGTTGATGGAAGCGTTTCGGTAAAATATTCCTGAAATGTCCATTCATACGTAGAGGCATGCTGTTCATTGCCACATCTTTAAGAATATGACGTCCCCTACAATCGCCGTCGAGCTCAAGTAGTCCTACCGTAACTGCTTCAAACTGTATCTGATACATAATTGTCCTTCACTAACCCTAATTACGACCCCCTCCCAAAAAACCTCACGTGCACTCCTCCCCCATTCAGAACTGCGCAACGCACGGTTGACCCTGCTTGTTTCTCTAGCTTTCTCGCTAATTTTATCTGATAGCCTTTGGTTTTTGGGACCTTACCTAGTGAAGTGGTAAGAGGTAAAGTACTATTATAATAGCGTGGGTCGGCTTTTTTGGATGCGATTCTGTCCCTCTTGACGTATAGGTCTACTATTCCAGGGATTTGTATGCCGCACATCCACAAGTCGATCGTTTATGTATTTCATATCAGAAGGTGAGTAATGATTTCCCTCTGCACTGATTTCATATTCGATGAAATTGCCTAAGTGTGGGACGATTTGCTTACAACAACAATTGCTACATTCGCATTTGTTCTGAGGTTGCAGAAACACTAAAAAATCAGAGGTGATCTCAGCGAATTCTTTGCCCAAATCCTGAGCTTAATCGTGAGCGAGTTCCGTTTCTTTTTCTTTTCCTCCACACTATTTTTCCGTGTTTTAGTCAAAACACATGACCCTACTTGGACAACTCATGGATGTGTCTTCAGCGCGTGAAATTGACGCATTTACGTGGGATCGGTGAGTTTATTGAAGTGTTGCGTGCTGTCTTTATGGTCTGTTTCACGCGGGGAGGCCTCTCGTACTTGCAGGCATAGTATTAGTCATGTGGCGTCAGTCAGCATCGAAAGCATCAGTGATCGTTTTTCCCGAGGCGGTGTTATATGTGCCAATGAGTTCACATTTACAGTTCACTCCCGCAAGGATCAGAATGTAAACACTTAAAGGATGATCCGATGATAAGGACGGAGGTTGAAGAAAAGGAAACTCATCTAGTCGAAAAGCGAGCGGGTCCTCTACGAGTGCAGGACAATGGGCATATTGCAACAAAGGGTATACCCCCAGTGGTCCAGCAGAGACGTAGCCGCGCCGCTACTCACCCACCGACTGGCTGACCCCTCGCAGTCATACTCTAGCCGCGGGCTTTACATCGAGGAAGGAAAACTTATTAGCGAAAGGACTGGCGGACCCTAGGGGTGCAGATCCAAACAATTCTCAGCGAAAGACATATCCTATGCGACCTAGCATGACCGTCCCCGCAGCGCTATCCACGCGGCACGCCCACCGACTGACTAACCACTCGCCGCAGGTCTGTGCTTACAGAGCGTTAGCGTTGAAGAGGGCAGCACCGATGAGAGTCGCATCAATGCGGAAATCAACGGGCAAGGAAGGGGTCCCATTTCTCGGGTTCTGGGCCGTTTCTCATGGTTTTTCTTTCTCCGGTACCACTGACCACCTCTAGTTTAATTCTCTGCGTTTGATGGTGAACTCCGCTTTTAAGTGATTCGGATATTCCCAGGTACGAGCAGCTGGTAGAAATGAAGACGTCTCACTATTCATTTTTTCATCCCATAGAGATGTCTATGTTGGTGAGCGACCGACTCGACAATCACCAAGTTGTGCGGCGGCTTGCTTATCAAATAGGATTCCTTTTCCAATCACAGGTAAGGCCTTTTTGGTTAAGAAATTCATTTTTACCACCAAGAATAACAGAATGCGCGATGGGTGAAGTCGTTGATCGGTACCTGTTTAGAATAGTTAAGCTTTCGGATAAATATGAACTAGGCTTTTATGACGAGACAATGCCCCTGCCTTTTCCTCAGCTGCTCCCCACCACACCAATCCCGCGTACATTGAAGACGCATTCTAATGCTTCTACGATTCTCAATGAGAGTCAAATGAATGGCGTATTTCAAAAGGCCATCGTCATGCAGTTGGTCCTTTCCGTAATCTCGAGCAAACTATGTAGTTGCAAGAGTCACCGTCGTTATTTAATGTTGGACATCGGATATCCGGCGCAAACTCACTTCCACCGTATTCGCGGCTCATCCAATAACCACG